TGTGTTGAGATCAATATGAGCAAAGAGATCAATGTCAGAGGGAAGATTTAATTAATCTAATATAAATAGAGATATATAATAAAGGAGCTTTGGTAGCGTAATGGTTACGAATTGGGCTGCAAACCTTAAGGTCAGTGGTTCGAAACTAGCAGCCGCTCCGTGGGAGAAAGATGAGGCTTTCTACTCCAGTAAGGATTTACACCCTCGGAAACCCTGTACAGGGTCGCTATGGGTCGGCTCCGACTCGAAGGTACTTAACAACAACAACAACAACAATAAAGGACTCCTGATGTGACTATAGAATCAGCTACTCCTTGGAAACCCTATACAGGATCGCCTTGAGCTGGAATCAACTGGATGGTACTTAACAGCAACAGTTAACAAACCCCCAAAACCTAACCCATTGTCCTCCAATTAATTGCAACTCATAGAGACCCTATAGTACACTATAGAGTGGTACCATAGGGTTTCGTTCCAAGTCTATAACTCCTTATGGAAACAGATTGCCACATTTTTCTCCCATAGAGTGGCTGGTGGGTTCTAACTGCTAAACGTTTGGTTAGCAGCTGTACTGAACCACCAAAACACTAGAGCTCGTTGGTAATCTAGTTAAGTCTTGTCAATTGGTTGAACTGGATTTTCTAAAGTTTGTAAGAGGTAAATATTATTCAGCCCTCCTTCTTTTAGCTAAGAGGTAGTGATTTTATTATTGGTTAAACATCATATGTGGTGCTGTGGGTTAATGCGCTGGACACAATTTCCTTTGAACTACAAGGTTGGGGTTCAATCTCACCAGCTGTTCCTCAGAAACCCTATACAGGGTTGCTATGAGTAGGAACTGACTCAACAGCACTTAACAATAACAAATGTCATACAGTACATTTTGTAAGGACCAGAGCAGCAATTTAGATACCAGAACCTGTTTTTTTTTTCCTTTTAAATAGCTCATAAATATATTCAGCATGCAAATTACCCAAGATGCAAGAAAAACTGAAGGAATTTGAAGCTTTTTGAAGGTGTGATAAAGCAATTGAGACTTTGAAACATGGCTCTGGTAACACAAATGGTGAAAAACATGGCTGGTAACTGAAAGGAGAAAGGTCTGCAGGAAAAAGACTTGGCAAATTGCTCCTATAAAGAATACAGCCACGAGAACCCTATGGGCCAGTTCTACTCAGTCATATGAGGTGGAGGGAAACTCCACAGCACCTAACAGCAACAGGCGGAGCAACTTTCTTCTCACTGTAGAAACTTACTTCTGTTATATATCAGAAAAGCAAACCTGCTGTCATCAAATCGACTCCACAAAGTGACTGCCCCATTGAGTTTCCAAGGCTGGAATCTTTAGAGAAGCTGACAGTCACATCCTTCTTCCACCGGGCAGCTGGTGGATTCCAACTTCAGACCTTTTAGTCAGTAACCTGGTGCTTAATCACTGTGCCACCACAGCTCCTTCTTTAGCTATATGTTGTTGCTAGCTATAGTTCCAACTCATAGCGACGCCTTATAGGGTTTTTGAGGAGCATCTGTTGAGTTTGAACTGCCAACCTTGTGGTTTGAAGTCCAGAGCTGATCCTACAGAACCACACCAGGAGTCTTTTGCTATGTAGAGGAGACAAATACATGAATTCACAGTCTTAATGCTACTTATTGTTAAATGTACCATGGAGTTGGTTACAGCTCATAGTGACCCCGTACAGGGTTTCCGAGGCTGTAAGTCTTTACGGGAGCAGAAAGTCTCATCTTTCTCCCGCGGAACAGCTGGTAGTTTCGAACTGCCGACCTTGAGGTTAGCAGCCCAATTTGTAACCACTACGCTACCAAAGCTCCTTAATGTTACTTGTTGTTATGTGCCATGGAGTCGGTTCCTACTCACAGTGACTCTGCACAGGGTTACTGGGGTTGTACATCTTTACGGGAGCAGAAAGCCTTATCTTTCTCCCGAGGAACAGTTGGTAGTTTCCAACTGCTGACCCTGAGGTTAGCAACCCAATTCGTAACCACTATGCTACCAGAGCTCCTGGTATGTTTATGTTACTAGTTTATGCAAACCCAGTCTGGGAATAAATTAAACCTACCCATTGCCAATGACTCAACAGCACTTCACAACAACGACATTGCCAACGAGTGGATTCTGACTCAGATTGACCCTATAGGGGAATACATTGTTGTTAAGTGCCGTCAAGTCGATTCCGACCCATAGATAGCAACCCTATATAGGGTTTCCGAGGAGCAGCTGAAGAGCTTGAACCACTAACCTTGCAGTTCAAATGACTATTAATTACAATATGTTACAGTAAATTTACAGAGCACGTTCTCCTTTTTCAAAGTGATGTACAAATGTGATATGTTATATCCAGGACAAAACAAATACCTTAAATTTCAATAAAGCTTTTAAGGATGAAGGGATCATAGAGATTATACTCTCTACCAGCGGCCTAGAGGGATAAAAGCAATTTGTCTCCAGTTATGCAAATAATGAATATTCCAGATTTTAGCCTAGGCTTTCTTGAGCTCATGTTGAGGGAAAGGCCCTATCTGCAGACAACATGTTATGATGATAATAATTGCAGTAACCACCTTTGAACAAATACATACTCTGGGTCAAGTATTCTGCTCTGCTCTGTATACGAAAAGGGGCTTGTTTATGGGGAAATCCCATTATCTTTCAATTACACGTTTCCACGAACTTTTTGAAGTCCACTTGTACAGTCCTTTATCCCACCCTGCTTAATTTCTGTCATTAGTCTATGAGGTATATACAGTTATCTCTATTTTATTGATAGGATGATTGAGAGCCAGTTTGTGACTTGTTCAAGGATACACAGCTAGTAAGGGCCCAGAGCTGGAATTAGTCTCAGCTCTGAACCTACACTCATTTCATTACCCAAGTGGACCAACATGGCCACATATTTGACTGGACAGTTCCCTTAAGTCATTATTTTAACCTCTGGCACTGATAGCCTCAGCTCTGGTAGCATAGTGGTTACCAGTTGGGCTGCTAACCTCAAGGGCAGTGGTTAGAAACTACCAGTCGTTCCGTGGGAAAAAGATGAGGCTTTCTGTCTCAATAAAGATTTACAGCCTTGGAAACTCTATGAAGGGTCGCTATGCGTCAGAACCGACTCCATACCACCACACCACCAGAGTGCACATAGCTGGCTTAAAGCAAGTTAATACCATTCTCCAGGTCCCAGCTCACAGAGAAAGATGGAATCAGAATTGTAGATTAGTTTGCATATAGTTGTAAAAACTAATTCAAAGACTTTTAATAAAATACTAAATTACTGGAACATTTCCTTTCATCCATATAAGCTAGGGATTCAATATGATGAACTTAAAATCAAAATCAAACAGTCAAACCCAAGAAGATAGAAGGGAAATATGAATGAAGCCTGTTTTTGTTGTTAAGTGCCTTAGAGTCATTTCTAACTTATAGCGACCCTGAACAGGGTTTTGAAGGAGTGGCTGGTTTTGATGAACTACCAATCTTGTGGCAGTATTCTGTAAGTGAACACTTGGAAGAAAAACACTTAAATGTTTTATAGAAAACTTTATTTAATGTTTTCATTCTATTTAAAGGAAGAAATTCCAAGTGGTCAATAAAACAAAACTAAGTCTGATGTTCAGGGTCACTATGGGTTGGAACCAACTCGACAGCTGCATAGTCAATTCCAACTCACAGCCACCCTACATGGGGGCTTCTGAGACTAAACTTTACTGGAGTTGTTGTTGTTTGTTGTTATGTGCCGTGGAGTCGGTTCTGACTCTTAGCGACCCTGTACAGGGTTTCCAAGGCTATAAATCTTTATGGGAGCAGAAAGCCACATCTTTCTCCCACTGAACAGCTGGTAGTTTCCAACTGCTGACCTTGCAGTTCGCAGCCGGATTCGTAACCACTACGCTACCAGAGCTCTTTTTACTGGAGTAGACAGCCTCATCTTTCTCCCATGGAGCAGTTGGTGAGTTTGTACTGTCAACCTTGTAATTGTTTATCCTCCAATTGCAGCCAGTGCTATGCTACATTTAAAAAGTGAAAAAAAAAACTTAAAATGGATTGAGTGATGATGGAACTGAGCACTTTGGGGTAAGATTACGGTCATCGTGACAATAGTACAGAAAAATATTTTAGACTTACCAACTGAACTGTTAAAATTTTGAATGTGCTTTAGAAGCATTATTTTCAAGGCAAAATGAGGCAATATTATGTTTAACTGGAAACTTTTTTATTAAAATATTTTTAATATTAGTGCTATTTTTCAATACAGGTGAGATAATACTCAGTAAAGCATCATGTACTTGATACTGTGAATTTAGGAATATAACAGTCCTTCTGGATCCTGGTCCCCTCCAATCTCCACAATATACCTAAGTAGCAAAATGCAATTACCCTTTTAAAAAATAAAGAGGCCTTTGGGCATTGTGAGAAAATAGGGAGGGGGCAGAGGACAAGGAAAGTTTTTCCCTACAGACTCATGCTTTTGGCTTTGACTTCATTCAGTAAGACCAGTTGTAAGACTACTGAGACGACCCTCTTTATGCTCTGCAAAGGGAAGGGAGAGAACACCTTGTAATTTACAAGTAGCAAAGCACAAAACCAGAAGCTGAGTATATAGGAGTTGGGGAAATTAGGGATCAAAAATAAAAGTTGGAGTAAAGTGCAGTTACTGTCAAAAATATATTCTTTGATCCTAAGAAAATTAAGAGAATTGTATCTAGATTGCTGACCTTTTAATACATTTGGTTTTCATGAAACATACAATCACCATCGGACATAAAAGACTAGTTTGCTTTGTTGTTTTTTAAAAAAAATTGCTTGGAGTCATCTACAGGAATCTTGTGAATGTAATTCAAGGATACATTCTGTAGCTCTTTGGGTATTGAATGATTTCCTCAGATAGTCCCCAAAGGATAGAGGGAACCTTTAAATGCACTGACTCATGTGGTCTTTCTCTCATTCATTTCCCCTAGTATCTGCTCCCAGTCCTTGCTTCCTTTCTTTAAATGCCAGTGCTTTCCAGTTCTCCATCGTCCACTCCTATGGCATGAGATCTGGAAATCATGAAGAGTTTCTCCTTGTTTGTAAACTGCCTCTGGACCGGCTGAGGTTGCTCTACCATGGGAAGCCTTTGGCTGGGATCCTCTGGGATACTTTGCTCCACACCCGAGGCGGTGTCAGTTGCACAGTCTTGGCTTTTACTGGCTCCTGCGTCCACCACCGACTCTGAGGATGTGCCGGCCTCCCGAAGTGGGGTGTAGCCCTTATTGCTGCCAGATGGGTCCTCAGACTGTGAGCTCCGAGAGTCCCGCCTGGCGGGGTACGAGTCCTCCAGCCCTAGGGAAGGTGAGGGGGAGTCGGATTTGGCTAAAAGGCTCCTATCCAGGTCCGCGCTGCTTGGGGAGGGCGGCGGCTCGGGCGACGGCGGCGCCCGGTAGTCCGGGAGCCCACTGGTGCTTCGGCGCCGCAGGGCCGCGTACCTGCCGGTCCTGGGCAGACAGCCGCTTTGGGCCCTGACGTTGCCAGCTGCCGCGGAGCCCTCGGATTCCTGGGGCCCGCTCTGAGCCCAGCGCGCACCAGCCCCGACACCGCGCAGGTCAGTCAGACTCAAGTCAAGTTCGCCTCGAGGAATTTCCTGGGACCCGCGCTCCCCGGGCGGCTCCTGCCAGCTGCAACTCGCGCCCTCTTTGGTCCCATCGCGCTCTCCGGGCAAAGGCAACAGCGCGAAGGTGCTCAGCGAGGAGCCCACCAGAGAACTGGCGGTGCTCTGGCGCCCCCAGCTCTCAGGAGGGCTGCAGGGAGCGGGACTGCTGTTGCCGTTGGCAGCTGTGACCACGGCGGCCGCCCGGCGACGACCAGCCACGCCCGAGCGGTCGCGGTAGATGCTGTACACGGCCTCTGCCAGGCTGGGGGGTTCGCGCGAACAGCGCGGCGACGAGGCCAGGTCTGGAGGGGACGCGGCACCTCTGCCCCCTCCAGCCCGGTTCGGAGTCGCCGGGTGGGGCCAAGTGCCCCGGGCCAGCGCCGCCGCCGCCCCGAAGGTGTCCCCAGCGCCGCTGGGCTTCAGTTCGAGGCCGCGCGACTGCACGTAACTCAGGAAGCCGTTGAGCGGAGAGGGCCCCGGGGTAGCGGAGGCGGGGGCCGGGGACGAAGCGGCAGCGGTGGCGGCGGCGGCCGCTAGGTCTTTGGCGCGGAGACTGTGCACGTCGATGACGGTGGAGTAGAGGTCCCGCAAATTAATGATCTTCGTCTTCTTGTCCCGGTTCTCATGAAGTACCGCGTTGGCGCAGATGAAGAGGAAGATGCCGATGCCCATGATGAGGGGCCCAAAGACTTTGAGTTTGTCAGAGTGCAGGTAGCCGGAGAAGACGCGGAAGAAGAAACCCACAGACGTCGAGGACGAGGAAGAGGAGGGGCCTGTGGAATGCGCAGGCTGAGTGCTTCTGGGCGAACCCACCGAACTGGAGTTGATATCCCCCTGAGCCTCCAGGTGGTTCCTGGACCGGTTTTTGCTGCCACTGCTGCTATTGGCCGTGGTCGGGACGCGGTGGCTGCTACCCGCGGGCGGCAGCTGCTTACCTCCCTCCCGATTGGCTCCGTTGGCCTTAGGCCAATAGCCCACCACCGCCAAGGCTATGCCCACCAGCAGCACCAGGATCCCGCAGAGGGCTATTAGTCCCGAGATGGAGCAGAGCTTCAGCTTGCCTTTCACCACCACCACGTCGTTCTTGCGCCTCTTCTTGGCCTTCCGCTTACGCTTAGGAACCTGGCTCGGAGGGCGGAGGGGATCCTGCTTTCTGGCGGAAATCCTCAGCAGACCGCCAGTAGCGATCATGGTGGGCCGGTGAAGTGCAGGGCTAGCCCCTGGAACTGAGGCGTGTGCAAAGGGGGTACCAGCTGCCCACTAGCTGCTCCGTCACCTCCTCCTGCTGCAAAGCACAGGAAGACAATCAGATGGTGGTTTGGCTACAGCAACATCCCACGCGTTGCAATTGCCCAGTTCCCAGATCCTACCCCATGTGTGCCCCCCCACTTACTAATCCTAATTGTCTACAGAATAGGGAATGGGGTAGATGAAATAGGAAAGAGGGGCTTCATTTCAATACCTGATGACAGAAGGTAATAAAGCAAATGAGAGAAATCCTTTCTCCCCTAACCCAATCCCCACACACACCCAGCATCATTCATTTCAAACCCTCCTGGCTGACAGCCAAGGGACTTTTCTTTTGACCATTAGTAACAACTCTATGTGGGGACTCAAAGTAGTGATTAAAGAGTTTCCAGGCAAGTTCCTTTCCCTTTGTCCAACTGGAATCTGACCATTTCCCAAGGGAGCTGCCACCAGCTCTTGGACTAGTTTCAAATCTCCTTAACTAAGGTAAATAATTTGTTATTGTGGGCCCCAAAGTTACTGAAACAGTCACAAAGTTTTTATTTTTTAAAGGCAAAAGGACTTCATTTTACTGGATGAAAAATAAAGGTCATATGCAGACAGGCAGACTTACTTCAGATAATTCATAGAGTTCATTGCTGGGAAAACACCACAGAGAAAGGTATTTCAATATTTTGACATTAAATCCCTTCACAAAGTCCTCTCCCACATAGTACTGTTCCTACAGCTAAAGGCAAACAGCTGCAGTCACAGCGTCTCCCTCATTTCTATTCTGCAACATCTGGACAGCTTCTTGGGGTGAAATATTTAGTTTTAGGTAACTGGTTATATAACTGAGCTCTTCCTTCTAGCCTCCTCTCATCCTTCAGAGGAACTCTCTTAAAGGCATCATGCGCTTTATCTCATCAGGGAATTTGAGAAATCCCTTGGAAATCCAAGAGAAAGAGATAACGGGAAAATTGCAACATTAAAAATGAAATCACTCTGCCATAATAGCACTCTGACCCCTTATTAATGTGTCAGTTAACGAGAACTTTTCAGAATCTCAGTATTCCAGTGAGTAGACAATTAACTAGATATAACAGTGAACTTACTAATGATTTGTAAAATGACATGTCTCCAAGTAAAAGCTGTTTTCTTCCTCATTTTTTTCATGAGGTCATCTTTTGGATGGGAGGGTGGTGTAAAGGAAGTTTAGTTGTTTTTAATGAAGCCTGGTAAGTAAATGCACAGATGTGAATCTCTGGTTTCTGTCAGCTTCTAAAGATTCCAAGCCTACTACATTCCCAGAGTAAAACAGTTTTGTTCCATTGGTTATCTTTACTCTTGTAATAGAGATGCTAAAATTAAGGGCATTGTATGAACATGAAAGGCTTAGTTATCACTCCCAAGCCTTTTGGAACTTTATCCTCTATAAAATAATTCATATTGTTGAATAAATTACTCTTTGAAAAGGTGGGATTACTTAGGTAGAATTTTGCTTTTAATTGGTGTTTGGATGCTTTGGCCATCAGTTCCTTCCATTATATCAATACAGGTAGAATTTTCCTTCACAGATTGAAAAAAAATAAAAAAAGTAATTGGGTTTTTAGAGTAAAAATCACTATCTCCTTTAAACTTAGTTGGTTTTTCAATAAAGAGAAACACTAGCGAGGTTAGACTGCATCTATAAGGCCTTTTAAATTTCAAGGAGCTGTACCATTAAGTACAAGCAAATTGTGAAAAGGAAAAGTGTAGCATACTGTTCATCCTTCACCCCACTCCCCTCTAAATCACACCTTTATAATGTAGATGCAACAGCAAGATTTTTAGTGGCCCCTAGACTCCTACTTCTTTAATGTAGTCATCTGGAGCTCTGTGGTTGTGGTTATCTTAGGAAGGCTTTAGGAGCCATACATTTAGAAGCAAACCTAGACTCAGTTGGCAGCAGGAGAGGACCAGCATTGTTGGGCCATTGATGGGGTGCACCAGGATGCTGGGTGTTTTGGAGGAGGAGAACACACAAGCAAGGCAGCTTTGGATCTGGGTAGAATGTAAGGAAGGCTGGAATGGATTTCAACAATCGTTTACAGAAGACTTTAAAACTCGTTTAATAGCTAGTAATTAACTGCCTGGTTTATTATTCCTTCAGCTCTGTTGGCAGAAGGTTGAACTTCTTTTTAATTTATCGCCATTTGACATGAAATACTAACAAAAGGTCAGGTGCCATGGAAGACCCACCTTTGAGGCTGTTCTTCCTGTCTAATGAAGGAAAACAAACTTAGCAGTCGAGGTTGGCTGCTCCTGCAATTAATTTACTGCCTGGTCTTTCTGTGGTTAAGCAATGGAGGATGGGGGAAGCAAAGGAGGGATGTCTAAAAATACAACTGCTTCCAAGCGAGACGTTCAAGTTCTCCACTCATGATGGATGGAGCCCCATTCGGTGTCAGAGGCTGAGCCTGGAGCACCAGGGCGTGCCTGGGACACAGATGAGGTCCACAATCCCTGTCCTTCCTAGGCTAGGCAGTGAACCCCTGCCCTTCTTTCTAATCTGCTTATTTATGTTGGAGTCACATGAGTGCAGCAGCTGGGAGTGCGCCTCTGGAAAGAAGACAAGCAGGAGCGAAGTGAGGGCGATTCTGAACGCGCTTTTTCTGGGCAGCGCATCCCGTGTATTCGACACAGACAAATGAGTCCCCCAACCCCGTCTCGGGGCGAGGATGGAGGACAGAAGGGATGGGGGGAGCTGGGGGGGCTGAGGACTGACAGCTTGTTCAAAATGGCAGCATTATAGGCAAACAATATCGCTCACTTACCCAGGGAGACTGGGCGAGCTCCTGGTCGGCGACCGGGCGCTCTGGCAACACAAAGGAACCATGGAGAAACTTTTTCAGCCCGAGCCGACGGCAGGGCGCAGGGCCAGCGCCTCGGGGACCTCCCTCCTGCCGCGGCTCAGCCGCGCATTGAGGGTGAGTGCCCTCCGGAGCCTCTCAGCCAGCTCCGGTCCGATGGCGGGAGCCATTTCCAAGAGTTTCCCAGAAGTGTCAGGTTCTCCCCAGGCTGCATGCTGTTCAGAGTCCTCTTCCGCTCCTTGCTCCCCTCCTGCTCCAATCGCTCTGGGCTCGCCACCCGCCCCCGGCGCCCTCTGGACCCTGCGGCCGCTGGCCCGGCTCGCGCGCTCTTTGTGTGTGGCTGCGGCGAGCGGGGCTCCGCCAGCGGAGTTGAGCCCCCGGCTGCGGCGGCGGCCGGACTCGCGGCGGTTGCTAAGATACTGGAGCCATGACACAGGGAATTTGCTGCAGGATGGCAGTCGGTCCCCGGCCCGACTCCGCCGTGGAGGGTCGCACCGCCCCCTGCCCCGCCTCCTCCGCTCCGGCCGGCCGCCCCGTCCCTCCAGAGAGCCGGTCCCTGGAGCAGAAGGCGCGGGGGCGCGCGCGAGGACCCGGCGGGGTGCTCTCCGGCCGGAGTGGGGGAGCGAGGAGGAGCGGCGCGCGAGGCGGGGGGGAGGGGGGAGAACAGGGGGGGCGAGCGCGGCGCACCCTCGGCCTGGGCCAGTCCCCGCCTCCAGGGCGTCCGGGACCGCCGCCTGCCGGAGCCCTGAGCCCGGTTCTTTTTTTCACAACTACCTGTCTGAGCAGCGGGCTGGAGAGAGCTCGCCTCCCAAGGGTCCCCCCGCGTGGCCCGGTGGGGCGGGGTGGGGTGGGAGGGCGCTTTGGTAAGACAAGGGGAAGTCCCCGTCTCCTCCCTCCGCTCTTTCCTGTCTTTTGTTGCCACTTCTCCTCCGCACGACACACAGCTTTTTCTTTTCTTCCCTCTCCCACTTGGGAGTTTGCGGTGTGGATGCCCAACGTGCACAGTAAGTTGTCCCCCAGCAAACTCAGCTCAGGCTCAGAGGAGCTGTCTCGGCCGAGCCCGGCTGGCCGCACTCACGGAAAGCCTCTGCCTGATGCTGTCGCCGCTCTTCTGAAGCCTGGCATTGTGACCCGCGGGGACGCTGCGTCTCCCCAGACGCGGGCAGCTGAGGCTCATCAGAGATTAGAATGGGCTCCCAGGCTCTTCTTTGGCAGCCCCGACTGCTCTGACCTTGTGTGGGAATCATCAAACATTAAAAAGGAAAACTATAATTCTCCAGGAATCAATGTGAGAATCAGAAGGCAAGACGGGGTAGGGAGGGTGTCCAAACTCCCTACGTCATATAAAAAGGGTTAGCGAGAGAGTGAGAGGTTGTTTCCTAGTCACTCCTGTCCTCTGAACTGTGAAGTAAAAATGATGAGGAAAAGAGAATTGCAAAGTGGAATTTCCCCATGGAGCATTGAGAAAGTAAAAAAGATTTCAATTATCTATGGAAATGAGGCAGCCAAGATTCAGGAAGAAAGGAACAGAATAGCAGATGCAGCAAGTGTTCTTTGAATTTGGCGTTCCCCACGAAGGGTCTGAGGGTTGGGATGGATTTTCTGCCCATAGATCCCATTACAGAATTGGGCCTCAAAGCACAAAGTTTGGGTTCAAGCCTAGAATATATACTTTTCAAAAAGAACAATAAAGATACAGAATTTACTAGTTAATGATTTAAATGTGGCCCAGGATCTATGAGGTGAGAGGATGGAAATGGTGGGATTTTGTTAAGTGAGAAACTGCATGAGCCTGTTTCAGAGGCCACTGTCATTTTCTCAAGCAAATAATGAATGTGGCCACCTTGTGTGGAGGCCTGCACTCATCCATGCCAAGAAATATGGAAGACAGCTACCTGGCCAAATGATTGTGCCCATTCCAAAGAGAGGCGACCCAATGGGATGCAGGAATTATGAGGCAACATCATTAAAATCATATGCAAGTAAAATTTTGCTAAAGATCAGTTAAAAATGACTAGTAGGACATCCACAGGGAACTATCATAGGGTCAAGCTGGATTCGGATGAGGACTTGGAACAGGGATGCCATTGCTGATATCAAATGGATCTTGGC